AATTAGTGATTTTTAAAAACTGGATGGCAAGTCGTCCCCCTTCCTCCCCCTCTATCACTGCTGTCCCGTCATTGAGCCAGAGCCGTATCACTTTGTCCTGCCTTCCGTAATGGGCTCCTATGTAAGAATTGACTCAGAGAAAAGATTCTTCCGCTAAATGAATATTAAAAGCATGGAGTATGATCTTTTTTCTCTCGTTTCGTCTTCCTCAAATTTGAATTTCAAGAATACCTGATTCCTGTGATTACTGAGTCCCTCAGACTTTCCTCAAAAGTGTACACATTTAAGTGTTTGCTTTTCAAAGAATAACAAAAGATAGAATTTTTGTTTGTGGGTTTTTTTTTTCCCTTTGGTAGCTCACCTTTCTCTTTTTACCCAACCCTGGCTCGTATGAGTTCCTTAAGCAAAAATTAAGATGTCCACATGCGATCTGTGTCTGGGCTCCCAAACTGCACCATATATGTTGTAGAACCTGGATTTTTAGGTATTTTGAGAGAATGATCTTCTGAAAAGTAAATAGCTTAAACTATTTCACTAAAATGAACACATTAGCAACTACAGCGTGTCTTGAACCTTCTTTTTGAGACCTACTTAACTTCAAACTCAACGGTTGACATGTTTTCTCACATTGTTCTGTTTAAATACTAGCTGCAAAAGTGAAGCATCTTGAAACAGATAGTGAAAAAATATAAAGATCCACGTAATACAATGTTAGGTTAGGAAAAAAGACTTGATACCAGGAAAAGGAACCCTGATGTCCTCAGGCCATAACAAAACAACCAGTGTGACTGAAAAGCTAAAATCTTGCCTGACGCGTTATAAATGAGCACAATTGTGGTTTGTTTTTGAATACAGATATAAGTGAGAATGTTTGTACCTCAGCCAAGTGAAGCCAAGATCTTTGGAACCCCAAATTATTATCCAATTTGGTAGAATGAACTAAAGGATCTACTTGAGAAACTTGTCTAAAATTTTTGTTTCTTGATTTGTATATAGGTTTCACAGTCCAACCTGGAGACCGGTGGAGTCTCGAGGTGGGGCAGGTGTACATCATTACAGTAGAAGTGTTTGATCAAAGCAGCACAAAGGTCTATATTTCAGATGTGAGTCTCTCGTTTGTCTTTTCCTAGCCCCGTGTGTGGATAACTCCTTGAGTGTGCCATCTTTTTGGCTAGGAAGCCTTTTCTTTTCCCTTTGCTTCCAGATTTTCCCTTTGGAAAGGCAAGTTACTACTACTTTATTATTATTGTCATTAAATAGTTCTGTCCTTGAGGAATGCTGAGCTACAAAATATAATTTGGTCAGAACTATAGAAAAGAGCTGAGTGCCGGTGTCACACTTTG